CTACTGAGCAGGCCAGGCTGGAGTAAGTACAGAGGCCAGCCTGCCAGGCTTGCCATGTGCTCAGGGCTTCAGCATTGCTTCCCCCCAGCGGGGGTTCCATGTGCCTCATGCAGCCAGAGCTGGGGGACTCTCAGGCCCTTCCGCTCCCAGACATACGCCTCCTCCGTTATCCAAGGGGAAGGGAAGCAGCTCATTGGGGTCATAGTGGTCCCTGTGCTTCAACAGTGACACCTTAACAGCTTTAACCAAAAATGAGGACACAGACTCCCAACCTGGGGCCCAGTCTCCCAGGAATAGGGCAGGGGGGTATCCAGGGTGTGTATGGCATCGGGGTAAAGGAGCAACCTAGGACTGAGGGAAGGGCAGGGACTGAGGGCCAACAGAGGCTGGAAGGGCTGAAAAAAAGACACTGGGATCACATTCATTATTTTAACATAAACTGAGTGCCTGTTGTGGTAGCTCAGTCAGTAAAGCATGAGACTCTTAAGCTAAAGCCTGTTGTTTACTGGGCCCTTTTCTAGGCATGGGTCATAGCTCTCAGAAGCTGCCAGACATGGGACAGCCTGGTGTACCCACTGGAACAGCTGTCCCCTTCCCCTGCTCTGAGGGTCCTTGTCTAGAATCAAGACAGTGAACAGGAACAGCAGCAAGCAAGGTTGCAAGTTAGATGTTAAGCAAAACTTCTCTCCATATGTTGAACTGGGGATGCTGGGTTGGCATTGACTCTCCCCAGATATGGAGGACTGAACAGGGGCTGGCTTGGGGGGTAAGTCCTGGGTCTGCTCAGCGCATGGACTGTTCTCTGTGTGTCTCTGTGTGCCTGCAATTTGGGGCAGTGCCCAGGGGCCCAGCAAGGCATGTACACCACCCTGGGCTGGGGTGTGTCAGACACCCTCACTGACAAGTGCTTCCCTCCAGAACCCGATTCCTGGAGAATGTGGCAGCGGCAGAAACAGAGAAGCAGGCTGCACTGGCCCAGGGCCGGGCAGAGACATTGGCTGGGGCCATGCCTGATGAGGCCGATGGACACCCAGGTGAGTAGGTGGGTGGGCAGAATCCATTCATGTTGCCCTTTTGCTCCACAGAGGGCATGATGCTGACAGCTGCTGCTTTTTTCCAGATACCCGGGAACTATGGGGCTCCCCAGAACCAGGCCCTGCACCCAGAACCCCCGAGAGCCCTACCCCCCGAGGTCTGCTCCGGGCCCAGCGGCGCCTTGAGCCAGAACCCAAGGTGCCACTGGCCCCACCAAGTGCCAAGGCCGAGCCCATTCAGGAGTTTCCTATCCGTGTACCCAAACTCTGCATTGGAGACCTGGACTTCTCAGATCTGGGGGAGGACGAAGACGAGGACATGCTGAATGTGGAGGCTGTGGAGGCTGTGAAAGGGGTCCCCCCCCCCCCCCCCCCACTGCCTGTGCTCTCTGGAGGCCCCCCGCCTCCTCCGCCCCCCCCTCCCCCACCCATCAAAGGCTCACTCCCACCACCTCCACCTCCAGCCGCCCCCCTTCCTCCCTCAGCACCTGATGGTCTAGCCCTCCCCACCAAGAGGAAGACAGTAAAACTCTTCTGGCGGGAGCTAAAGCTGGCTGGGGGCCATGGAGGCTCTGGGAGCCATTTTGGGCCTTGCCCCACCCTATGGGCCTCACTGGAACCTGTCTCGGTGGACACAGCCCGGCTGGAACACCTGTTTGAGTCCCGTGCCAAGGACGTGCTGCCTTCCAAGGTAAACCCACCCTCGTCTGCAGGGTAACCCCAGTGGAGGAAGGAGGCAGTCAGAGCTTAAGGGTCTGACCTGCCACTCATTTCCCACATGGGGGAACCGAGGCAAAGAAAGGCATGGAGTCTTGTCTGAGGTCTCTCAACAAGGTATCAGCAAAGCCCTAACTAGAATCTCAGCTCATTCCAAAGTCTTACACATCCCAGATCCCTGGTTGTGGGGTGACCGCACCATCTAGCCATTTCAAAGGGGCTTTAAGAGTGCCCTCTTATATTGTTGCCCCAGCTAGTTCCTTTCCCAATCTCATACCACTCTTCTCAACTTTAAAGAAAGCCGGTGAGGGCCGCCGGACAATGACCACAGTGCTGGACCCCAAGCGCAGCAACGCCATCAACATTGGCCTAACCACCCTGCCACCTGTGCATGTCATTAAGGCTGCCCTGCTCAACTTTGATGAGTTTGCTGTCAGCAAAGATGGCATTGAGGTGGGGATACCGGCTAGGGGTATTGGAGGGAGGTGGGAGGTTTGGCCCTCTCCTTTGGTCAGTGGGCATGGGCTTGGTATTTCTACAGAGCAGTCCCCAGACCCTGGGGATCCCCCAGATGACCTAGGGATGAGTCCAAACCAACTCCTGAAGCCTCAGGCCAGGACTGAGGGGACTATGTGGGGTGGTGGCTGCATCCTCAGAAACTGCTGACTATGATGCCCACGGAAGAGGAGCGGCAGAAGATCGAGGAGGCCCAGCTGGCCAATCCTGACGTACCCTTGGGCCCAGCTGAGAATTTCCTGATGACCCTTGCCTCCATTGGGGGCCTGGCCGCCCGCCTACAACTCTGGGCCTTCAAGCTGGACTATGACAGCATGGAGCGGGTACTTGGATTATGGGGGGGCGGGGCAGGAACGGGGGCAGGTGAGCACAAGGACCAGGTAGTTTGAGAGTCTCTCATCTCCCACTCCAGGAAATCGCAGAACCACTATTTGACCTGAAAGTGGGCATGGAACAGCTGGTACAAAATGCCACTTTCCGCTGCATCCTGGCCACTCTCCTGGCTGTGGGCAACTTCCTCAACGGTTCCCAGGTGAGTGGGAGCACACGAGGGCTGGTGGCCAGGGCTCTGGAGCCAGCCAGGCCCAGGCTCAGATGGGGTCCTTTCAGAGCAGCGGCTTCGAGCTGAGCTACCTGGAGAAGGTGTCAGAGGTGAAGGACACAGTGCGCCGGCAGTCACTGCTGCACCATCTCTGCTCCTTGGTGCTCCAGACCCGGCCTGATTCCTCGGACCTCTACTCAGAAATCCCTGCCCTGACCCGCTGTGCCAAGGTTAGCACCAGCCAGCGGCTTGGCTAAGACCAGCCACGGCAATGAGGGAGCGCAACTTCCTGGGGCTGGCTCTCCCTCCCTGTCTGGGCTGTTGTGCCGGAGTGTGCCCAGCTAGGTGTCTGCGTGGGCAGTGTCCTTGGCCAGAAACACTCTTTCCTCTACTGGCCTGGCTACACACACCTACTGTTTTTGGGTCTCTGTTTAGCCACCACTTCCCCCAAGAAAGCTTCCCTGTTCCCCATTAGATTAAATGGACTTGTCTCCTGCATTAGACTGTGAGCTTTTGGAGGGCAGGAGGCAGGTTCTTGGCTCTCTGGGTCCCTAGGGCCCAAGCTGGCTGGCCTGACAGAGGCAGCCTCAGGTGGTGCCCTTCTGTGGGGGGACAGCATGCATACCCCCTGCTTTTCCAGGTGGACTTTGAGCAGCTGACTGAGAACCTGGGGCAGTTGGAGCGTCGGAGCCGGGCAGCTGAGGAGAGCCTACGGAGCTTGGCCAAGCATGAGCTGGCCCCAGCCCTGCGTGCCCGCCTCACCCACTTCTTGGCCCAATGTGGCCGTCGTGTAGCCATGCTGCGAGTAGTGCACCGCCGTGTCTGTAACAGGTGGGCACACGGGCCAAAGAGGCAGGACTGCCACCACCATCCCTCAAACCCCACGCAGGACTCACCATCCCTCCTTACCCCGACCTGCTTAGGTTCCACGCCTTCCTGTTGTACCTGGGGTACACAGCCCCGGCGGCCCGCGAGGTACGCATCATGCAGTTCTGCCACACACTGCGTGAGTTTGCACTGGAGTACCGCACTTGCCGGGAACGGGTGCTGCAGCAGCAGCAGAAGCGTGCCACGTACCGTGAGCGCAACAAGACCCGGGGCCGCATGATCACGGAGGTGGGCACCCTTCCAGGTTTGGACTGCCACCCCCTGTGGCTTCCTTCCCCCGCTCCCAGCTCATCCTTCTCTCCTCTGCAGACAGAGAAGTTCTCAGGTGTAGCTGGGGAAGCCCCCAGCAACCCATCTGTCCCAGTGGCTGTGGGCAGTGGGCCAGGGCGGGGTGATGCTGACAGTCACGCCAGCATGAAGAGTCTGCTGACCAGCAAGCCTGAAGACACCACACATGGCCGCCGCAGCAGAGGTGGGACCTGGGGCCACTGGGAGCAATGGGCTTTGGGGTCACCTTGACCTGACTTCCCCATCTGGTCTCCCTTAGGCATGGCCCAGAGCGGCTCCCCAGTCATGCTGACAGCAATGGGGTCCTCCATTGCACCCCCAGAAGAACCCCCAGGCTCCGGTTTACCCAGTGACACTTCAGATGAGATCATGGACCTGCTGGTGCAATCAGTGACCAAGAGCAGTCCCCGTGCCTTAGCTGCTCGGGAACGCAAGCGTTCCCGGGGCAACCGCAAGTCTTGTGAGTACTCCCCAAATGCCCACTACCCACTTTAATCCCATCAACCCCCTTCCAACCCTGCTCTGTCCCTGCAGTGAGACGGACGCTGAAGAGCGGGCTCGGAGAGGACCTGGTGCAGGCACTGGGACTGAGCAAGGGTCCTGGCCTGGAGGTATGAAGGCGCCGCCTCCAGGGCACCTACCTGTCGGGGCCCCAGCCTGCAGTACAAGAGACTAGAGAGTGAGGAGGGATCAGCAGAATTTGGGCCTCTTCTCAACCCCAGGGCCACTCTGTGCCCAGTGGACAGTGCCTTGAGCAGTATTAGCTGTGCATGCCTATGTGCAAGTGTGTGTGTGTGTGTGTGTGTGTGCATGTGTGTGTGTGTGTGTGTGTACACACGTACTTGTATGAGCTCCCCGAATATGTGGAGTATAATAAAGTTTTCCTAGCCAACCCGAGCATTTTCCTGCTTTCGAGGTACCCACCACATTTGGTCTGTAGCAGGAGGCTAATACTGGCTACAGTACAGCAGGACTGGCTCTTCCTGCATCGCCCTTCATTATCACCCACACAGCCATTAGCCACATTCTGAGCCATTTATTCAATAATCCTATACCTTAGACTGCTTTTGGGCCTGGACTAGGCAGGCCCTCCTTGCTCCTGGCATGGGGGCCATGCAGCCTGTGGCCGAAGTGTCAGGGGCTATAACCGCTTCATCTGCCGCCGTTCCTGTCGGCGCTGCCGTTTCTCATTGTGCTCTGGTGCTGGGGTGCCACCGTCTGCTGTGAACCAAGGGCCCAGCACATTCACCCAGAGGAGGTAAAGGGCCCGGCCCGGAGCCTAGGACAAAAAAGGTAACTTGAAGCCAGGTGCAGGAAGTGAAAGAAGAGAAGGGTTAAATGCTCCAGCCCCACGCACCAGAAGCCAGAAGGACCAGATGTAGAGGGAGAAGCAGCTGAGCACCTGCACGATGGCTGTCAGTAGGATCACATCCTTAAGGTGCCTGTGGATAGAAGGGAGGCTGCAAGGGCCAAAAATAGTAGATGGGCCCCAGTTCATCTCCCTTCTACCCTCTTCAAGTTGCAGGCAGTTGTGGGTCTTGGGCTATCTGGGCCCCAAAACCCCAGCCCTGGGGCCGCTCACCTGGGCTGGCAGCGGGGGACACTCACTCTGCCATGCCCTGCTCCATGTTGAGGTCCATTCCACCATCCATCAGGGCCCCATCCTCAGAAAAGGCTGCCCGTGCCATCGAGCTCATAGAGTGGTAGCTGGCCCCATATACTGCCAGACTGAAGGCCAGGGCCATCTGCAGAATAAGAATGGTATCAAAGGCCAGCCAGTAATCCTATATGCTTATCCACTTCCCAGGATAGGGGACACTTACCCAGGCCCAAAATGAGGCAGATGAGTAGAAGAACACCAAGGTCACAAGACAGTAAATGGCCTGTAAGCAGATATATGATCAGGCTGGGATCAAAAGCTACCCTAAACCACGGGCCTTCCTCAACTCTGACCAAGAGTTATGCCAGGCTGTGGAAAGAGACAGGCTGTTTCTCATAGGGTTGGTGGGAGAAAGGGGTCTGTTCCCTGAGTCCCCAGACTCCCCTCTGATATGTCAGTCCAGGAAAGAAGGCCCTGTGTATCTGGGATGGGAAGGATGGGCTCAAGTCCATCTGAGACTCAAACCCTCCTTTCATTTTTGGTTGTTTTGACTACTCTGCACTTTCTTTGGGCTGGGATCCATTCTCATTTTTTTTTTTTAAAGATTTTAAAAAGATTTATTTTTTTTTAAGATTTTACTTATTTATTTGAGATAGAGGGAGCATGAGAAGGGGGAGGGTCAGAGGGAGACACAGACTCCCCGCTGAGCAGGAAGCCTGATGCGGGACTCGATCCCAAGACTCCAGGACCATGACCTGAGCTGAAGGCAGTCGCTCAACCAACTGAGCCACCCAGGCACCCCAAGATTTTATTTATTTGACAGAGACACAGAGAGAGAGGGAACAGAAGCAGGGGGAGTGGGAGAGGGAGAAGCATGGTTCCCTAGGAGCAGGAAAGGACCCTGGGATCATGACCCAAGCCAAAGGCAGACGCTTAACAACTGAGCCACCCAGGTGCCCCTCATTTCTTTTCTTTTTTTTTTTTTTTAAGATTTTATTTGAGAGAGAATGAGAGAGAGAGAGCATGAGAGGGTCAGAGGGAGAAGCAGACTCCCTGCTGAGCAGGGAGCCCAACGCGGGACTTGATCCCAGGACTCCAGGATCATGACCTGAGCCGAAGGCAGTTGCTTAACCAACTGAGCCACCCAGGCGCCCCATCCCCTCATTTCTTTTTAATTGTAGTTTTCTTTTGGAAAACTACACATGGCTGTCACATACCACCACCCCCCACCCACCCCCACCCCCACCAGAGCTGACTGTGGGATCTCGGGTGGGCACAGTAGCAAGGAGGTAGGTACTTACATTGGCCCCCAGTATGATCCGCAGATAGAACTTCAGAGTCTCTCTGTTCTCTTCAAATATCTGCTTCTTCCCTCTCGTGCCCACTTTGCCCTTGGGCTGCAGAGGGATGGTAAGATGCTGTCAGAGCCCTCCTCAGCCAGGGTCCTCCTTACCCTCCCCCCAAGTCTGGTTGGGTACAGACCCTATTACACCTGCACCTAAGCCAGTTCCCCATGTGCTCAAATCAAGCACAATCCTTGGGATACCCACCCCTCCTCCCATCCATCCTGCTTAGGGCTGACACCATCTGTGCAACACCCCTACCGATGATCGCCTCCTGTTCACCCTGGAACAATCCAACACTAGGCTGATATCTCCTGGCTCCGCTGGTAAGGTCCAGCTTTGGGCTGACTACCCCTTCAAGGGGGACTCCCGAGTGGCGCTGAATGGTGCGCCCCTCCGGCCTCTGCTGGAGTAGTCCAGATCTCGGCTGACACCCACCCCTTTCAGGACCCTAAGGTCTCCGACCAGGTCTGGTACAGTCTGGTACTGACGCCCACTCCCCTCCCGCACCGCTTCTGCTATGGCGGTGCGCCCCTCCATTCCCCCGCGCTAGCTCTAGTAGGGTCTGGCCACTGTATGGCGCCCCCCTCTGGCGGACCCGCTTCCTTTGATATCCTTCCTCTGTTTTCAGTCTCCCGGCCCCGGGAATCCTCTGCCGTTGCGAACCCCCCCCCACCCGCCCCCCTTACCGCCCTGGCGCGACCCCAACACCCCGCCAGAAAAACAAGGGGGAGCGACCGAAACCGCGGTGCGGAGGGACCGCATCGGCAGCACAGGCACTTCCGGTGCAGACCCAAATCGTCACAACTGTGACGGAAGTGGGGAGGGTCCACTTCCTTCCCAAGGCCCGCCCCCCCCCGGAGTCGCTAGGACTGCATTTCCCAGAAGGCCTTGCACGGGGGCGGAGGCGGCGGGGACGCGATGGCGGAGTCGCTAACCCCTGGAGGTGAGAGGAGGCCGCCCTCAGGCCTGGCTTGGGACAGGCTCCGCCCTCGGGGGGGCCGGGTCTCGGGGTGGGGGGAGGGGCTGTCAGACAGCTCGCCAGGCTCCGTCCGCCTGGCGGAAACAACCTGCCCGAGAAGGAGCTGCAGGCTATGGGTAACGGCCCCGCTTTTGGGCCACCCCGTACCCTTAGCTTGGGGGAACCATCCTCTCCTTCCCGGTCGGCCCCAAGAGATGGCTGCCCTGTCACCTCAGCGAGGACAGGGTCTCTGCCTATTCCCTTCTCTAGCGATGGCCGCCCCTCCCCCTCAGTTCTGGAAGATGACCGTTCCATCCCCTCGTCCCGGAAGGGTAACCGATCTTATCCTCCTTGGCCCCTTGGGATGATCACTCCATTCCCTCTGCCGCGAAGGACGGCTGCCCCCTCCCCCTGGCGGTAGGAGACAGATTGCTCCTCCCATCAACTCCGGCCACAGTCGCTGGATTACTTCACCGAGGACAGGCCTGCTCCCCACTGCCTCCGTCCCTAGTGATGGCTGTCCCTACCTCCTTCACCCCATGGGATGTTTGTTCCTTTTCCTTAGCCTGGAACAAGACCACTCTCCCGCCATTGGCCGGAGAGAGAGAGAACAGATTTTGTTCCCAGTGGCCTCTTGGGATGGCCTCTCCGTCCCTTTTGCCTTGAGAGTTGGCAGCTCCCTTCTGCTGCCCACCGGAGACAAGTCACCCTTTCCTCATTGGCCCTGGAAGGTGCTCCTTCCCCTTAGCAAGAATAGGGCTGCTCCCACCCCCTTTAGCCCCCTACCATGCATCCTTTATCTCCTGGGCCCCAGAGGATGTCTACTACATAGATCCCAGGAATGACCAGTCATAATCTCAGTTGTAGCCCCTTAGGATGGGGTTCATGGGATGGTGACACCATCCTTACCATTGCCTCCTCTTCCCCCTAGAAAAGCCACCCCCTTCTCAGCTCAAAGAATCATGCTCCCTCTCCTCAGTGAGGACAGGTTTTTTGCCCTCTCTCGTTGCTTTTTGGGTTTGTTGCCGAGCCCCAGAATATAGGATGGCCAGTCTTAACTTGGCTCAGACAGGCTTCCCTGCCTCCCACAGGGTGGGGCCTTAGTCAGTCCCAATCCCATGAGTGTTCTCTTCCCCCTGTCTTGCTTTTGAGCCCCGAGGCGGTTCTCCCCAGGCCTCTCAGTAATGATCTGTTTTATCTTCCCCACGCCTTCCCTGAGCAAAACTTTGGTGAAAATTGAGGTAGAGGAATTTGATGAAAATAGAGATAGAGCACTGTCCATTTTTAATTCAAACCAGTAAGTATTGGCTGAGTACCTTTTGTGTGCTAGGGATCAAAGAAAGGAAGAAGAGGTTAGAATGGGCTGGTGAGGTCAAGGTTAAGAAAGGGCATTCCTGGAAATCGGCCTACATAGGCAAAAGGTAATAGACATGGTATGGTTGTAGGACAGTGGGAAGACTGAACTGGGGAAGCTCTGGGATCAGGGGTCCGGTCAGGCATAGGGCCTGGCAGGGTCTTGCTTAGGGTCTTGCTCACCCAAGAGGATAGAGATTTTGTCCTGAGGATACTGGGGTACCCTGAAGGTTTTCATCAGGGATGTGCTAAGACTAAAAGCTGTTTTTTAAGGAAACTAACCTTGTCACAGTGTACAAAATGACTAGCAAGACTGAGCCTGGAGGCAAGGAGGTCAGGTGGGAGATTGTAGAAAGAATCCAGGTCTGGGGTGATAAAGATCTGGGCTACTGAGGTGCTAAAATTTCGAAGGTAGAAATATTAGTAACAGCAATCCAGCAACCATTTATGGAACATCTACTAGGTATCAAGCACATCGTAACTATTATATATGGTATGGAAACTGAAGCTCAGAGAGATCAGTTACCTTGCCTGAGGTCACATAGGTCACACAGCTTGGAAGTAGTAGAGCTGGGATCTGCATGAGTCTTAGTTACCCTGGCCTAAGCCTGTGCTGTACACCTGTATCTGACAGCGAGGGACAGAAGAGCATGAAGAGTACAAAGTATTATTAGGATCTTAAAAAAAAAGGATCTTCAGGTGAGATGCACTATTGGCATTGAAGCTCAGGTGCTGGAAAGTTGGGAGGAAGGGATGCTTTGGACTGAGAATATGAATTTTGGTTGAGATGAAGGTGATAGTAAGACATTTAGATAATGGATCCTGTGGACGATTGGCAACACCAGACTAGCACATGAATGATGAGACAATATGCGGATACTGAATTGTTGGTTATTGCTGTAGAGGTAACTGTTGAAGCCATGCAAATGAATTTACTATCCTAGGAAGTAAACAGATTGAAAGACCCAAGTTTGAGCCATGGGACCCACAGAAGAATCCAGAAACGGGGCAGTTGGAGAGTGGGGCCCTAGAAAACACAGTGTTACAAGAGTCCAAGAGAGAAGATTTCAGAAGAAAAGAATAGTTAATATTAGATCATTCTTGGCCTCACCAGTCCTGTATAGGGCCTCCAACCTCATGACCCCCAGACTCATAGGTGGAGCAAGGGCCTGAGCACCTGGGCTGGGTCCTGCTGGGATCATATCTTAACAGCCAGCTGAGAAGGCGAGTTGACAGTGGAGAAAATGGGGAAAGAGGGAGGACCCAGAGCCTGACCTGTGAGGGCAGGAGGAAGGGGTGTGGTTTCCAAAGATCAGAGGAGGACACCTGACTTGCTGTCCTAGGTCTTATGCAAGACACTTTACTATGTGTGGTTTTTTTTAACAGATTTTATTTATTTGAGAGGGAGAGAGAAAGAGCAAGAGCAAGAGCAAGAGCAGGGGGAAGGAGACTCCCCACTGAGCAAGGAGCCCAATGCAGGACTCAGTTCTAGGACCCTGGGCTCATGACCTGAGCCGAAGGCAGACGCTTAACCGACGGAGCCACCCAGGCACCCCGACACTTTACTATGTTATTAAATTCTCAGCACAACCCATTTAAACCTCACTACCATTGCCATTTTACAGATTAGAAAAACAAGGCTCAGGGCGCCTGGGTGGCTCAGTTGGTTAAGCGACTGCCTTCGGCTCAGGTCATGATCCTGGAGTCCCGGGATCGAGTCCCACATCGGGCTCCCTGCTCAGCAGAGTCTGCTTCTCCTTCTCACCCTACTCCCTCTCATGCTGTCTCTCATTCTCTCTCTCAAATAAATAAATAAAATCTTTAAAAAAAGAAAAAAGAAAAACAAGGCTCAGAGAGGTCAGCTGATAGAGTAAGGATTTGAACTTGGTCCTAATGCCCAGGCTCTTTTTACCAAACTGAGCAGGAAGTTTGCTTTTTATCAGTCAGTACAAACCTGCATCCAGGCGAGGCTCAGGAATGGTTTGTTCAGAGTATAGATGCCTGGAGGCTGGAAAGGGGAAGTGAAGACCCCATGAAGCTTAGGATTCAAGATGAACTAGAAGCCAGTGTTCCAGTCTCCTCAGACTGACTGCACTATCAGCTGGAGAAGGTTCCAAAGGCCCCCAGTGCTAACAGTTCCCAATGCCCTGTCTTTTTCCCTCAGATGCTCACATATATTCCGAGCTTCCTGCCTCTGTCAGATCAGAAAAAGGCCTCCCTCGTGAGTCGGGCTTGGTACTGTGCAGCCCAGAATGCCCTTTGGGAGGTAAGGTGGCCACCCTCACCTGGCGCATCCTCAGCCGTCTCTCACTCCAGTTTGCTCATGGCCCTGCTTCCACATCGTCCATTCATCCATGCATACATATACATATGTTACATTCATACACACTCGATTCTGGGTACAGCGCTGGGACTTTACAGAGGAGTAAGATAGAGTCCCCTGCCCCGAGGAACTCACAGTCCAGTGAAGGAGAAAGACAAGTACATGAGTGATGGTGATGTCGTGTGCTTGGTGCTGTGACACTCGAATGAAGGGTGCAACAAGAACAAGAAGAAGGACGTCCAGAGGAGACCAGCAGCATGAGGGAAGGCTTCCTGATGGAATAGGATGGGGGGGAAGGTTGGTGTTCCAGGACCAGTGATAGCACAGGTAAAGGCACCAAGGTGTGAAATGGTTCTGTCAACGACCACCCAAGTTCCCTACGACTAGAACTGAGATGTGTGTAGGAGGGCTGGGAGGTGAGGCTAGCGGGGGGCCAGACCACAAGCTGGCCCTGGTGCCAGGGCTCCACCGTAATTACCATCATGGAGCCTGTACAGGAATGTTAAGGCAGGGGAGTGACACGGTGTGATGTGTCTTAGAACTCCAATGCTGAGCGGACTGGAGAGAGGGGGAGTCGGGGTGTGGGGAGACAGCCCAGCTTGGGGGTGAATGCAGACATCTGCGACAGTTTGAAAGGCAAGCTCCTTGTTTTCGTTCTGACTTCTTTGATCACCACTGAGGTTGAACAGTTTTCTCATTAGCTGACTGTTTATATTTCCCTTTCTTGTTTCTGTTCTTTATCCATTTAACCATTGGTATCTTAGTATTTTTCTTATCCATTTGTATGAACCTTTTATACATTAAAGAGATGGATCTTTTACATATTTATTGAAATATATTCCTAACATATTTGCCTTTGTATTTGATGTGTAGATATGTGCTTATTTCTGAGACACAGAGGTTAAATTTCTATGTTGTTGATTCTGAACATCTTTTGCTTCCTTATTTCGTCCATTGCTTTTTAAACTGAGAGACCCCTTGCCTCTTCAGTAATTTGATGTACACTCATATTTCTCTTTTTTTTTTTTTTTACTAGACTCATTTTTTCAGAGAGGTTTTAGGTTCACAACAAAATCCTTTCTTCTGTTTTATGGCTTGAATTTTTATACTAATTTTCTTAATTGGTGAAATTTATTTTAATCTATTCTCTCAGGTAAGAA